GGTAGTACATGTGCAAYTGGGGTGTAAAAGCTGGTGGTATCAGGAGCTGTTCATCCATTGCTTGTTTGTGAACGCTTTCTTTTTCTGTCTCAAGGTTTGGGCAGTGCTTGCTCAGCTGAGCAACAACTCGGTGCCAGCCCTGAGGCTGTGGGCGCTGGTCAGCTCTGGGGAGATTCTCTGCATCCCCATGATGCTGTTCCAGTTCTACTCCTGCCACCTTGAGTCAGAGCTGGTGTTTTTCTGAGCTGGCYTGGAGCTCTTTAGTCTTGTAAAGTGGCAGAATAGCGTCTATTACAAAAACAAACCCTCCTTTTCTTCCTGTTGTAATCAGTTAAATCGGCTGTGTAATTAAATGATGAGCTGGACTGTGGGTATGTCAGTGTACTCAAAGCTGGTCTGTGTAGAAGAACAAACCTCTTTATTTTAGCCAGTATAAAATGATACCAATATGGATGAAGTTTTGTAACTAGAGAACTTTTGTAACTTYTCTAGCTCTACAGAAGTAATAAACCCGCTTCCTCAAAAATTGAGAAGTGCCCCCTTTTAAAAAATTTCATCCAGAGTCTTTGTGAGTGTTGTCTTGGTGATGTTTTAAACTGGGAATAGACTTCACATCATTAACGCTGAATTTTAAAATATAATTATTTTTTGCTTCACTAATTTTGACTAATGCAGAGTGAAAAATGATTAATCAGGAGACTTAACATAATTAGTGCAGTGTGGCAACTGACTACTTATAAATATAAATCTGTTAACATGGGAAGCATAGCTCTTATTCTGAAATGTTCTGCTTTGTGTCAGAATCTAAAATATTAGAACTGTTTTACTCTTTAAATTGATACTGCAAATCTTAGTGCTCTGAAAACATTCATATTCTACCACTAATTATGATGTTCAAAACAGGAAATCTGAAATCATGTCAGAAAGAATATCAAAATTTCAGGGAATTTTTAAATGTTCTTTTGATTTATGTTGCTGGGAAAAAATACTTTTATATGTCATCCTGATATATGGCACTGGGAAAATGAAGAAGAAATTAATTGCAGARATCTGCTATGTTCAATCTTGCTGAAAGATTGTTTTGCTTGTAACCTGTCATGGTTAAAAGAAATATGAGCAGTGTCAGTATACAGAAGGGATATTTTAGTTTTCAAAAGCCTCTGGGAACTGCAGACAGACTATACTTTTAAAGTACAAGAGATCAAAAAAAGTGGCATTTTCAGTTAAATTTGCTTATAAAATCATAACCAGTACCTGAAAAGCCACTGGTGTGAAAGATGCCTTGACTTAAATTAGGTTGAGGGTRAAATTCCTGAAATATTTCTGCTTTTTCTCTGTCAATACTGCTTCTGAGGTCCAGAGTCTGATCTTACCATGTAATGCAGCAGCTGATTTGCAGCATATTTTATTAAGACAGAATTATAAAGGCTAGGAYTAGTGCTGGGAAAGGTCATGGATTTCAGTGGGAGTAATACTCATGAGCCATAGATGAAACAGATTATATGTTACAGCGGGATCAGTTCTAGCCACAGTAGGAGTTCTAAGAAATGCAAACTTTTGGTGGAAAACCAAAAAAAGATTTCCATGTAGTAGAAAACCTCCTGTGTTTTTCCATGAAGGCTCTGTCTCTRTTGTTCTGCTGCTGCTGGGTTATAAAGTGTTACAGAAACAAGGTTCCCTGTGTCTCCTGAACAGCGGGTGCAGATCTGCTCCCATTGCCACCGGAACAGYTGCTTGGAGGGCTGACATGACTGAGCTCAGCACAGTGTTTGCATCTCCTGACAGACAAATGTRTAGGTGAGCGACCACTTTGTCATGGCCACAATGCTGCTCTTTCATAGCAGTGAGGAAAAACAGTAGGAAAAGTCCAGATGCCAACTACACCCTTGGGAAGAGAAGAACAAAGGATGACTTAAGCTTAGACATAAGACATTAGCTAGTTGTGGCACAAGTCAGACCAGTCTTTACATAGTGGCAAGCCCCAAATTATACCCAGCCTGAGTTTTTACATTTAAGTCTATTAAGARCTGTCATAAATGTTTCAGGTTGTGTTGACAGAGACCTGGGCAGGAGGGTGGGTTGTGTATTGGTTTTGTCCTGTTTGTCTTTCAARAAAGGAGCATTGTTCAAAATCGGTCTTACTCTTTTCAGTGTAGCTTGTTGCAAATTAGCAATTATGGTTTCTTCTGGCTTTGCAACTGATTATGYTAACTTTCAGCAAATTAATTATGTTCTGGCTCACGACTGCACACACAACACTTTGTAAAATGGAATTACAGTAGAACCCTGCCAGATCTTGTCACTCCACTTTGTGTAAACCTTGTGGTAACTTTCCTAAGGCTCACTAGTGAGGTGATGACATGAGCATTCCAACTGCAGCTTCCAGCTGGTTGAGTGTAGGCATAGCTGATGGAGATGACTTTTTTATTTTAAGGTATACTTATTTACATGAAATACATAGAAAAACAAATTGCAAATTACGACTAAATAAATGGCTAAGTTGTATTTTATTAGAAAATGTTCKTATTCTGTTTTATTTCTGTTTTTTTCTGAGTTTTGTGCTTTCATTGCTCCATTAACTAAAAGTGTTAGGCTRTGTTATTAAAAATAAAATGAGAGACATATTGCAGTAGATGATAAATATTGGTAGAGTTTCTGTAAGTCCTTTAGTCCATTGTTGTTTAAAAGCAATATAGAGTAGTTAATTTAAATTCCATGCAATACATAGACTCCTAAATTCTTATTTCATGTTTTGACACAGGCTTCCTCTGTGGAATATTGCTTAGGAGRGCTGCCTTGACTTCCCTGCTCTCACTTTGAGTCCTTTAAGGATCRTTTTAAAATTGATTTGAGAGGGTTTTTAGTAGCAGTTAGTTCTACTAATTTCCAAAGTGACCATTTTCCATTGGTGACTATGCAGTGTCCATAGGAGATGTTGCAAAACTGCAAGTGTTTTGCCATAGTGAAACTTGATTTTTCATTAAGATGAGAGTTCAGTCATATTTCTTCAGGGAAGTTAAATTTTCACTTTCATATCTTTCACCCATTACTTCTTTTGCTGCAAAACTATAATAGGGTCTACTCTGAATGCTGGTTATTAAGAGGGGAAGGGTACATGTGTTTTGTTGTTGCAATGGGCTTTTCTTTTGTGAGAGCATAGTGCAATATAGTGGTTTTCCAAAGAGTTTTACTCTTGGCTTTTTTCTTTTCTTTGGAATAGAGAGAAATTTCGGTTAATCCGAAATTTTACCTTTTCTCTGTATAAGTCTACTTGAAAACGCCCACATAACCAGACATGCTAAACTTGAGAGAGAAAAGAGAAATACCAGTATAGATATCTCCAGTATAGCTATAGGAGATATATATTTGTCAGTAAAATGTCTAGTTGCTGTCTGGGAGTAGTGTGTGATAGAAGAGCAGCACTGATGTTAAAAAAGCAAACTGTTTTCAAGTGGTGAGAGAGTTAACCTGCAACAAGTGCATGTGTTCATTGCGTGTGAGTTCTTTTCATCCTCACCACAAATAGGCTCAAAGACAAGGAAACAGAAAGTAGTTGGTTTTACAGAACCAGTTCAGTAGTTCTGTCATGAGCAAAGTGGAAGATTATTTCTGTGTAGCAAGAGGATTACTGTTGTGTCAGCAGTAAGAAAATGCTGCTTTTGAAGGAAATGTGCCTGGTGGTGGACATGGCACTGGCTTAGTCTAAACTCATACTGAGTCCAGAGACTAAACTATTGACACCTGGGCTTGGGTGGGATCCATGGGCAGTAATCAGTGGTAAAGACAAAGGAGCTGCTACTCATTTCCAGGCTCTGTGCTCTGCCAGACGATATGGGGAGGAAGGTTAAAACAATTGAAGGAACTGTTCTTTTTTTCAGTCTCTGGGGAAAATAGTATAGTCCAACACACTTGATCAGATCTTCTGTTCCTGGCATTCTAACACTTCTCTGAGTGCAAGAAAACCACAAAAGGGTTGRGGAAGGGACCTCTGGAAGTCATCTGGTCCACCCGCTGCATAAGCAGGGCTGTGCAGAGCTGGCTGCCTAGGACCACGTCCAGACAGCTWATGAACATCTCCAAGGATGGAGATTCCACAGGTTCCCTGGGTAACCTGTGCCAGTGCCACTCATAGTTTTTCARCTGGCTTCACAAAGTGTCTGGTAGTGTGTGTGCCTTGACTGGCTTAGGTTAGGATGTGGAATTGGCTGGCACCTGGCTGTGGGTACCACACAGCAGCAGAATGTCTGTGTGTGAGAGAGCATGTGTGAGAGCTAAAGTCGCTGCAGGAGAATGGCTTCATGTGTGTGTCCTGTGGGATATTTGGCACAGAATCTGTTTTTCAGGTTTTCAGGATGCTGGTGATTTCTACCAATTTTACTCCTGAAATTTTGTACTTTTATCAACAAAAATGTTCTTGCCAACTCCTGACATGCTGTGTATTTTAGGGCCCCAAGGTACCTTGAACAGTAAATGAGTTTTGAGCAGAAAGTATGTAAAATCTCCATCCTGCAAGCAGGGAATGCTAAACAGTTACAGAAATCGAAACTGTATTTTTCGAGTTACCTAATTTCATGGTTTCTTCAGTAACAGACCAGAAAGAGAGTACTTCAAGCCCCATTTCAAGTAAATCCTTTCAGTGAGATGCTTTTCCTGCCACACTTGGAAAATACCAGTAAGAATTCTTGCCCGAGAGTATAACAGTGATGTGTTACAGGAGCCCTGGCCTCTGAGGCTGTTTGTTCAAATCCTTTTGTTTATTATGAGCTGGAATGCAGAGCTGTGGGCTGGGCTAGAGAACACCAGCGTGGTGCCTTCGTGACACTTTGCATTAACAAATGGCATCTTTGTTCGAGCCTCTGCAGCTCCTAGAGCTGTAGAGGGGCCGTTTCTGGAAAAAGGAGCACGTGTCAAGTGGCTCAGTTGTGTGGAGCAAATGCAGCAAGTGGAGGAGGAGAACTTTTGCCCCGATCATTTTGGTAAACTGATTTAGAATATGGTCTAGAGGCAAACAGATTTACTTCATGAAGACTAAAACGGAGCTCTACAAGGACTGGGAAGAGAATGACAGTCTCAAGACTGGTAAASTGTTGTGTAAAATTTTATGTACTGGTCTTTAATTGTTTATATTGTGCTATTTTACTTATCTCTCGTTTCAAATTAGTGACAACTGAGTTTTAAATACTTAATACTATCAAGGTACATAATTATGTTTAATGATGGAAGAAATGTAGCTTGGTTAACTTCTGGAAATAGGCATTTCAGAGAAAGTGTTGCTATGCCAAAGGGATTGCTTTTCTTACAAACTCTAGTTCACTTTTTGTTAAAAATTCTTCTCTGTGTTAGAAGTTCTCTCTGCATGAAATGAAAGAGGAAGTATAATAAATGATGCTTGATCACTGTTATTCAGAGCAGGTTTAGTATCGATGTTCAGGTATTTACCAAGATTCTTCCTTTTGAACATTGTGTACCCACAACAAAATACTATTATATGTACGTCATGGCTTTTATTTCATTGTTTATGGGAATGAACTGGAAGGAAAATAAACAGCCTGAGTATTTAAGGGACTTTCTGCTATGACCAGAGACTTTGTTTATTGCTCTGATATGTGCTTTGAATGTGTAGATGCGTAGCAGCTGGTGGTAGTGCCTGCAGACAGGAATTTGTGCCAATGCAGCTTTTTGTGCAGTGGAATGTG